AAGGGCTTCGTGCCCACACCGACGCCGGAGGCATCATCTTGTTGTTCCAGGACGACAAGGTCAGCGGCCTCCAGCTGTTGAAGGATGGGGAATGGATCGACGTACCGCCAATGCGCCATTCCATCGTCATTAACCTCGGAGATCAGATTGAGGTAATACACGGTTCACACCTACTTCTTCTTACTTACACTCCTCATCCACATTAACTCGATTTGATTTTGATCGATCTTTTAGGTAATTACGAATGGCAAGTACAAAAGTGTGGAGCACAGGGTGGTAGCACAAACCGACGGGACGAGGATGTCGATTGCATCTTTCTACAACCCCGGGAGCGACGCAGTGATTTACCCCGCCCCACAGCTGTTGGAGAAAGAGGCAACAACAGAGGAGAAGAAGAGCATCAGCTACCCTAAGTTCGTGTTCCAGGATTACATGAAGCTCTATGCTGGACTCAAGTTTGAGGCCAAGGAGCCAAGGTTCGAGCTGATCAAGACCGTGGATTCTAACGTGAAGTTGGGTCCAATTGCCATAGCTTGAAGAAAGTAATTAATAAAATTGCTGTTGTCATGGATATATAGTAATAAAGTAAAAAAAGTGAGAGAGGTTAATTAACTTATTAGTGTGTGTCTCTTAATCTTCTTGATTGTTGGAGGGAAATGTGGTTTAATTTAGAGTGTTTTAAGTAAAGTGTGTGGGAGGGAATGATAAAGAAAGAAATGTGGTGTGTGTGGGCTTTGTCAATGGATGGGTAATTTTATTTCTTTTGTTCTTATGTAGAAAGTGTGATACTATGGAATGGAATGCAATAAATAAAGATTTTCTTTTTTTTTATATAAGTTGGTATATTATTATTTTTTTACACTACTTTCATGACGCAAAATAAGTCGTCGGTAACTTTTAATAGAAAGGTACGTGAATTGCGCCAGTAACTTTTATTACAACTGACAAAATAAATAAAAAAATCTTAATAAAAAGATACGTGACCTGTCACAAAGTTCGTAACTTACAAATTTTCGATTTCTTGAATTAATGGAATGTTTGAGTATGAGAAGCAGACATAAAAAAGATGTTACATAGTTTAATTATTCTCTGACTTTGATTAAGTGGAAAATTGGAAGCATTAGAACAGACAGTGACTGTGGTGCCAGCCTTGTGGATGCTAGGGTGGTCAAACCAGACAAATATTTGCCAAATTTATTAAACAGGAAAAGTATGCATTGATTACAATTTGCTTAGTTCGATTTTTTGTGGAGATAATAATAAAAATTTGGTTGCCTTTACAAAAGCTTTTAGGGGCAGCCATATTATTAATGTACCTTCGCTCAGTTCCTTAGATTCACCGTTGTGTGTGCATGTGAAGGGTATTCCCATGACTAGGATAACCCAATTTATAAATAGATTGAACTAAACAATAGTTTTTCCAACTCGGTTAACATGTTAACTCGAAATCAATGAGTTTGAGTTATTCAGAATCAGCCGTTATAAACATACGATATCTGCAAAATTAATGTTAGATTCATATATCGATTGAGATCAAACAATATATGGCCCAATCCATCGAGGTCAACTCACAATTTTTAAGGGGTCGTTTGGAAGTTGCGATTGTTTTGTTGAGATTGTCATTATGCATGTATTGTTTACATTGCATCGTTTTTTTTGTTTTTGTTTTTTTAGCAGAAACAATACATGGATTGTTTCTATGATGTGACAAAAACTATCACTCATTTTGAGTGATTGTTATATCTCAACTTTTAGTTGTGATTGTTGAGATAGTTGAGTTGAAATTGTTTTATCTAAACTTTTAGCTGATGCGACATACACAATCACACATACCAAACGTTGTATTCTACAATGCATCAAATTCGACAATACATGTGTAATATTATACATGCATTCTCAACAATACATCTATTTAACAATCGCAAACCAATACGGTAGCAAATTCTTATTTTCTTGAAGTATCCATAAGCTACCACCGACATAGTCGCTAAAACAACAGGTGGGAAGTACAAATTTGGGAAAACAGTACTTAGAAAATCGAGTTCTTAACTGCCGAAAGGTAGCTCAATTAACAAATAACAAGCCCAATTAGCAACTGAAATTACCTTTCCCTATAATTAATTGATTGATTCCTATATGAGAAGAAATATGAAACTGCCAATCTCGATGAGTGGTTGTGTGGAGCCTTGGCAGTGGCCATTTTCAAATCCAAAGAAACATAACTAAAAAAAGCAGTGCTTTAAGCATCCAACTTTAGGATTAGTTTTCTAAAAATAAATAAACGTTAATGACAGGACACGAAGGGCTTTCAGTTGGTAACTTCCATAAGGGTGGATTAGATATAATATTGGGATTAATAGTTGGGATGCGGGGTGTTGAGGGTGCCATTATCTCAATTATTACTTGCAGATTATTTAAAACATATTATGTGGAAACAAATTATTTTCAAATGATGTCAGATGGAATCTTTGCATGAACCAGAGTAGTTTTTTATATTAAAATAATATGTATATGTTACATTCTGAGTTTCAAATGAGTACAATATTGACATCTCGTATGTAAATGTTAATGAAGAGTTCGTAAGTTTGCAATTACACTATACACTATACAGCATGCAAGATGCAGGTTTATAAATCGTCTATTAACAAAACATGCAAATTAGTTGTAACAATTTTCAAATGATAGTGATAAGTATGATACATCTAAAATAAAAAGTGTTATTAATTGTAGTTTTAATTTTTAAGAGTTGATTAATTAAAGGAAGGGTAGGGAAAAGGGAGGATGAATGTGCAGAAGAATCATGGGAACAAGCAAGGCAAGCACATGGTGGTCTTAAGTTTTTGCAACCATTTTGTGGGACAAGCTCCACTCTCTCCTTACTCTTCCCCATGAAAAGAAACCCACACCAATAGCGGACTCACTTCAACTCGCTCTCTCACTCGCTAGCTCACCTCCAAAACAATGGCATTTGCTGCCTGCCTGCCCCCATGATACCCTAACCACAATGCCCATTTTTCTCTTTTTAATCATTGATGTGTGTGATCGATCGGTTACCTGTTCCTGAACGAACCAGCTATTCCGCTAATGTGAGAGAGAGACTTGCGATGAGCGAGTCAGAGAGAGATCGACAAAGAGGGTGAGGGGAGAGAGAGAGACTGCCAACGTAAGTACATAATACTCCTCGTACTAATCAGGCCCTGCCAAATGAAGGAAGAATAGAAATGAGTGGCTAAAATGAGATTGTCACATGTAGGGATGGACATCAGTCGATTCAGTCCATAATTTGATCAAATTGAAATAGGAGCCGACCAAAAACAAAGGAAAATTAAGGACCGGAACTCGACTAAAAGCAGGTCTGGTTTATTTGGTTCGATTCGGTCCGGTCCAAATTCAATTTTGGTCCATTTTTCTCCATACTTAAAATAATTCTTAGGACCAAAACCGAAACAAAATTCGATTCGATCCGATTTGGTCCGGTGTGAACCGGATCGTTGCCCACCCCTAATCACGGGGTTCGTAACATAACCTATTCTAAAGGATCTTGCAGATTGCCCTTAATTTTCATCCTTCGAGTCATCGCCCTTATTCTTCATCCATCCTTTGTTAGGCCATTAAAGTGGATCCACATTGCTAATTTAGAAACCAACTAAATCAAAGGTACACAACAAATGTCACTAAAAACCCACAATAATTCAATTGAGTGGACAAGAGTACACGATGAGGAAGTGGAGAGAAACAATGCCACTCCAAAGCAATTCATGCTTAGAACTTTCATGGCTAAAAAATGGATTTCCTACTCAATCATTATCCTCACAACCCATGCCTTGCCCATAACGAAAATCAATAATGGGCCTGGTCCAACCCACAAATCTTTGTCTGGCGCATTTAAGGATCCGGGCATACAATTACACATGCACTACTAACTAGGGTTTTGTTTAATGCACATTTCTGGCTCAAGCTTTTCACCAATTGGCAAAACCATTGCTGGGGATCGCCAAAAGAAAACCCCAACTTCGTTCTACTTGTGGGTTATTTCACTTGACAACGCAAAGAGTCTCACATGGTGGTAGGGCTCTGTAATTGGTCGATTCGGCTGCAACAATCAAGGGGCCGAATTCAAGCTCCAGGACCGCCACACCATTTGCCATAATTGCCGCACCAATCCATCCATCATATGCACCTCCCTCGTTTCCTCACCATTTTTCATGGAACAAAATGTGTATTCTGGGGAAGTTTCTTCTTTCACATATGCCTCCAAACCTGGTTTTCACACCCACTTCACCAACAAAAATGGGAAGGAACTTGTCGTTTTCTGTAATGGGTTGCACATTTGCTGTTTGATGAATTGATGTTGGTAAGTACTGGTGCTTTTGGGTAAAAGTTGAATTCATAACCATAATTTTGAATAATGCAGTCAAAAGCGTGATTCTTTCTAGAAGCGCTTTGGTGACCTAAAAGCGTAAAATCGCAAGCTTTTAAGCTTTAAAGCGTAGATTTTGATTACACTTCTAAGAGAAAAACACAATTCTACGTAGAAGCGTTTTGGTGACCTAAAAAGGTAAAAACGTAAACTTTTAAGTTTTAAAGCGCGATTTTGACTGCATTGATTTTGAAGCTATAGGTTGAGTTTGTATCATAAAGGTATTTGTACACAAAGGTTGGGGTGCAAATTTGGTAGAAACCGATTTCCCACGGTTTCTATTATCATTATCATCACAAATAATTATTAGAATAAATCATTACGTGGTTAAGTTTAGATTTATTATTAGGTTTTCAGCTCTTTTCCGATATATAAGTGTACTTTGTTATTCTTTTAGTAATCAATCAAGCATTAAGAAAATATCATCTCTGGTCATCTACGAACTCTAATCCCTCTTCCTCTCAAGTCGTCTTCTTCCCTAACCCTGCCGCCGACCATTCCCCTCTTGCTCTTCTCAAGTTCTCACTCTCAATCCTTAATCTCTCAAATCACTAAAATACCGATCCGATACGAACGCGTCCTAGAAACCGTGTTTTTTTTATCAAAACTGAATTTGCATTGCTTGTTCCATTGCTCCAAGGCACTTGAGACCTGGTCTCGGCTTGGCTTGTTGAATGTGCTCCCTGTGGTTGACTCTTGTTTTGCGGGTTGGTTCTTTGGGCTCAAAGACAGGTTGTCAGCTGACCATATCACCAAGATTGTGTGTTCCCTTTAGAATAGCTGGATTGCTCGAAATAGTATGGTCTTTGATGGTAGGGCGTTCTCTCGACCCACTGTGGCAATTTTAGCTGAACGAGATGTTCAGAACGTTCAGGAAGCTAGGACTATATCCTCATCTTTCCCCTCTTCTAGTTCAGCTGGTTTGCCTTCTCAGCCAGAGAGTTCTCGGTCGCCGACCTTATCACCACCTGGCCCTTTCATTAAGGTTTTGCATTGCGATGGGTCCTTTGTTTCTCATGCACAGATGGCGGCTTATGGGATTGCTATTGCTAACTCTCATAGTCAGGTTATCGACGGGAAGGCTGAGAGATTGATTTGTTCTTCTCCGTTACAAGCGAAAGCTGTTGCGATTCTTAATGCAGTTATCTTGGCGGCCCAGGATCCAGTCCCAACAGGTATCAGATCTGACTATTAGAGGTTGATGATTGCGTTGAGACAGGATTTGAGCCTTTCGCTCGGGCAATGGCGGGCAACCCTTGTCTGTGTGGTTTCCATTCTCCGTGCTTCTCCCTGGATCTCGGTTGAGTTTGTTCCCCGTTGATTCAATAGGCTGGCTGATTAGATCGCAAAGAACTCTCGTCATGGTCTCCTTCCCCCTTAATGGATTGTTATTGGCGACCTTATCGCTCCATTATTGTAATTGTAATGCTTCCCAATTGTTGGGGTCTGGAATGAAATGAATGAAGTTTGATGTAAAAAAAATTAAATCAGAATTTGTACCATAATGTTAAGTAAATATTTTATATGTATCATAAAAGAATATGTACGAAAAGGTATAGGTACAAACTGAATTTGTACCATAACATTAAATGTACATATTCAGGTTGTACCATAAAAATTTTTGTAAGCGGAAGCACTGTGTGAGCATAGTAGCGAAGTTCTTACTATCATTAAAAAGAATATGAATAATCTAATTTTATCTGGACATCCCCAATTGAGTTCTCTTTGTTTTCATAATTATCGCAGGAAAATAATATAGATTCGACAAATATATAAGACATTTGCAGGTCATGCTACAAAACAAGAAGAAGGAAAACACATTGTTCGGCAAGTGTCCAAACAAACATTTCAAGGCTTGTTTTTATCATGATATAGGAACCACTGTTATACCTACGAGGCGCGCAATGAAACGAGACACGCTGAAAAGTAGACCGTAACACTTGGACCACTTGTATGATAGCCCTCATCACGTGCGACAAATCCTTCGTGGTGATCAGCCGAATGATCACCTGCGCGTCGTCACAAAATAAAACATTAGAAAATGAACGCGCCAAACACCAACATGAAACAACATCTTGAAGAGCTAAGAGCTAAAAGATATCTTAACTCATAGCACAATGGCAGTTTGAACATTCATAGATTATGGATATCATATCCTCCTCAGATTCCGGTTGAGTTTCTCATATTCTGAGGAGTTTTGTGTGTTCGAGTATTTTGTTGGGCTTATTGTCCAGATCATGAAATCTTGGTCCAACTTTGTGGTGTTGTGAGTTGTGACTTGTGTGCATGAATGAAGGTGCCGTGCAGTGGAGCGATCCGAAAAATTAAGAAGTATAAAACAGTAAATAGGAGATTTGTGGCTTTGTGCTACAGTAAAATACCAAATTGTGCACTTGACATTTGTAAAATTTATGGAAGACCACAAGAAACCTTCTCATTGTTCTATTAATGTCTTTTGACACAGACGACCGAACTACATATCAAAAGTGAAGGGAAAGAATAGACGTGGAGTCCAAGTGATTGGAACTCTTTTTGTTGGCTACTAACTTGGTACTCTTCCACCAGAAAACTTTTGAATCCAATATTCTATCATTTTCTCATAGTAGAAGTATCTTCTAAACAAGAAATTTTCTCATTCGACATCATTCGTATAAATTTGAACATCATTCCAGTTATATACTTAACGCATCTTCATTTCATGCCTAAATTTCATATTAACTTCACCAATGCATCAATTTATTTAAGCCGTTAAATTTTATTTTTACCTAGGGGATAAAACAGGAAACTTATCTACCACATCCACAAACAAATCACAACCCATTTTGGTATCTGTGGCTATAGTTTACTTGGCTATGGCTATAGAGCATCGACTTCAACTCAACTGAGAGGGAAATGAATGAGAACCCACTACTACAACGTACTCTACATTATATTCTTTGTCCTCGTCCACCATTGAAACTTTTGAGTAATTACAAAGACGTCCATATCACTTTTGGCCGAATGGGTGGCAAGTTCGCAATTATTTTCCAGAATCAATCAATCTAACATGAATGAAAATAGTATGTCGTTAGCAAATTGAAGTCCCTCCCTCACCACAGCTACTGTCGGCTGGCTGTGGCTAACTTCTTTCTTTCCTTTCTTTCCCCACAAATCTGATCTTCACAGTGCTTATCCACACTAGTTTTTGTTGTTGTTGGGATAAGAAGAACTGGAAAAGGGAAAGAAGAAGAGGGCTCCTTAGTTGTAATTTGTCACACATCATACCTAACTCATTATACCAACATTGCCCTACTTTGGCAAAGGGAGGTTTGCTTTCCATAACCACCCAACTATCTTGTCTATGTGATAAGTGTTGGCAGTAACTTGTGATCCAAGTTGTGTTTCGATGGATACGTTGAATGAGAAAATATCATGTTGTACGAATTTATGAGATGTCTCTATGGTTATGGGTCCGTTCGACTACAACCAACGACGCAATTCTGACCATTCGATACTGTTTGTTATTGAGTTTTAGTAAAATTACTTTAGAGTTTGTGATTGAAGATTGCAACAGTATGTTATACAATTTAGTATCTCAACTCTGTCCTTTCAGTGTCATTCAAGATTCAAATAAAATGCTAAAATTGTAATAAAATAAAAAAAATATACAATTTAGCGATTCATTTACACCCCATTATGATATAGTACCATTGTTTTTAATGGGTGTCTCATTAGGAGAGAAAGGAAAGAAGATGAGAGTTGCATATTACATTACAAAATTTGAAGTCACGAGACCACTTAATCGTTCTACCATGTATTCGTAGCATATATAGAAAAAGGTGACACTTGAGCATTTGACTAGCGAGACAAGTTGCTTAACTCAGTAATAGGAACAGACTGGTAAATGATTAACAATTGATTCTGATGATAAAAAAGTTCAAACCAGCTTCTTAGCCAATATTTCCATGATTTGGTTTCATCATTTATATGGGCATAGATCATGGAACTACACTGATTGGGCCAATATAAACCATCATCCGGGCCGTATTTGGGTCGATAAGCTGTCTAGGAAATCGAAGCGCAGAGTCAAAAAAAAAAAAAAAAAAAAAAAGGGAACCTTGAAGGCCTGAACCGTTAAGCCCGGCCCAAAATAAGCGCAATGAGACCGGTGATCACAAGGAGAAGAGCTAGCCAGCTAGTAACTAATGAACGGCTCTTCTTCAATCTTTGAGTAACTGATTCGGTTTATTCATTCATCACAATAACAGTTGGTGCAGAAAATGCAGAGTTGCCACCGCCACTGCCCTCTCCTGATGCCCACCCATAGTATACACGATCGGCCTGGAGAAGAAAAGACAGACGTCGGCAAAACATTTCAGTGGCTTTCTTCACCAACTATCCGGCGAAACCAACAGTCAGCTACCTGTATTCTAGTTCTAGATGCAAACTCCACCCACCCACACAGAACATGACCACAAGAATACAACAGAATATAATTGGTTGTTTTTTCTTCTTTAACCTTCTTCCACGTCGAGAGAAGGAAAACAATAGAAACGATCTCCCGCCATTTTATGATATTTTCAGCCGCCAGAGATATATTATTTCATCACAGAAACTATAGCTAAGAAGAATCCTCTCTTCCCCTACCAAAAAACAACACAGAGGGGGAAAGAAACCCGGTTGAGTCCCGCCATGTAGCACACGGTTTTCCCATCTCTCCCCTCCCTTGTTTTACTTGTACAAGATGTACTGCTACCTTCTGGAGCAAGAGAAGGACAATGGGATATGCTTTAAGGTAGAAACATCAAATAACTCCATAAACCTTTGGTCTGATACTCTGGCCTTGGCCGCCGCAAACCTCTGGTACTCGTCGAATATGGACGATAAGCACCACTTTTGCAGTTTCCTCAAGCACCCAACCACACAACCGGTTCGATGCTGCATTATCAAATCAAAAATCATATCACAAAATGCTCTCTCATGCTGTCCAAGGTAGTTGTCAATGGATATATACATCATTCAACTTACCTTTCCCCGTTTGCAATGGATCAATAGAGGATGATTCTTCACATCTGCATTTTTAGCAACACAAGTGGGAATCAATCATCAATGTAAATAAGGTTATAACCATTCCCACAGCAAGGGCAAATGTTGTTTTACCAAGGACTACTTGTAGAGCTTCACGAATTGTGTCTTCTGGAATGTTCACAAATGGCTCCTGCAAAATGCCCAGTAAAAATATTCAGGGTTAGCACCAGGGATAAGGCCCGATCAACATGAAGTTACAAGCTTCTGCCATTTCTATCAAGTACTCCGTATTTTTTAGCATTTAAGCTGCCATTCAACTAGTCAGTATAGAAGGAAATTGTATGCTCAACTAGATCGTTGTAGCTAGGGTAAAATGACATATATATTAAAAGTGAGCTTCGACTAATGCCCTTGATATGTAATGCAGCACAAAAACTTGCACTCATGCAATGCTTTATGCTCTAGGGTCGTATCTCCACCACCTTCCACATAAAGTATCCACTCCAGGGCACTATGGTACGAGATTACAGAGACAGATCATGGAGCCTGTACCCTAGCCAGATGGCCACTAGCTATAACAAGAGATAGTGGGAATCTCGTAAGAGCTCTATTACCGGTACAAAAAGCCGAGGAACCGAAACTAGCGGAGGACTTGCCTCTGGTAACGTAAACTGCCTATAGCAGTGACTCTGCTTTTAGATATCGTCGGCTATATACTTGCAACCAATTTAGAATTGGACCGAGGTTGAACCCAGATAGCTGGAGAGGAAAACCACCTGACTTCTCCCGAGGGAAATAGTTACAGGAAATAGAGCAAGAAACAGTCCTTCACAGAAACTTTCGCATTTCAACTCATCTGAGACTTAAAGTTGCGATTTAGGGAATAAAAAGGGATAAACCTTTAGCAATAATCCTTACCCGACACAAAACTAGGAGCTCCCCACATCCGACAATGCACACCCAATTTATCATTTCAGAGATCTGATTGCCTAAGTGATTTTGGACATATCTATTAAGACTGAACCTAGAAAATGTCCATTAGTCAAGCTCCAGGGACAAACTGCAACGCAGCATGTGGCCACTATACTTTAGCAGGCAAAGGCCTAAAAATTGGCACTATGCCGACACATGAGTAAGCAGCTGACAAGACCAGCATATGTCGACAAAGACTCCAACACCATATGCTTGACCAGTGTGCTTCCCACTTCCTCGTAGTCATCTCATTCCTAACTACCAACAGTTGCAAGGGCACTTTCTCCTCAATCAAAGTACTTTCTCAGCAAGACTGTTAAAAAGTTTTTTGAGAAGCCAGGCAACCGCATCAACCACCAGAAACTCCATACACCTTCTATATTTCAAGAATTCGTGATTTGTAACCAAAGGGCTTGATAAACGCAAGAAATAGTAATAAAATGGAAAGAAAACCGGTGGCGATGGGGAAGGGACGGCATCTGGGAGATAAGTTGGTGAAGGGACGGGGCAAAGAGGAAGACAACAAAAACCCATCTGTCAGTTGTCCCCAATGGAGGATATTCTATGCATATGCTCTTGATACTGTTATGCCACTTATCTCAATTTTGTCCTCAACCCAAAGGTTTCTCAAATGTAACGGTCGAATGGCCATAAAGAGCAAAAAGACGCCATCATCACCATCGCATAAGCAATTGGGATTCACCACCTTCATCAAGATAAGTGGGATTCATAAAAGACGAGATAAAGAACGGGGGAAAGAGATTCAGTAGGCATCACTCGTTATCAGGAGCCACCCAAATCTGCAGCTGGGGCGCGCAACCATGAACAATGAATAGGAAAAAGAAAAGCTCCACTTGCGCTTTGGAATTCTCGAGAGTAATAAACAAACAAAGTGGGGTTTTGAATTATATGCATAGAATAAAGAAGATCGATCTGGAATGGGTAATGCACGCACTTGACATCACTCTTTTCCCAAAAGCCACTTTCATTTCCCCACACATGCATCAGTAAGGAATATCTAAGTACCCAGAGGATCTTCCAAAGACGAGGCACAAAGCTTTCAAGTCCATACACACAGATGGATTATTCCAGCACTGGGAAAAGCAGAACGCACCTTGTATCCTTCGATTCCGAATTGGAAAAGCCTAATCCCATTGGCCTTGAGGAACTCCGTGTTCGCCTCAGGATATGGCTCGGGGCACAAGCAACTGGGAAGCAGAAAAAAAATCCCTAAATCATCATCAATTCCGCGCGAAAATTTGGGGGGAAACAGCCCTAGATTTTGTAAGGCTTACATGATGGAGCGAAGGCCGAGCGTTTCAACGAAAGAGAAGTTAGCCGAATCGGGGAATCCGGAGCGGAAGATGCCATTATCGACCATGGCGAAGTTTAGGGGAGGGATGAAACTCAACTCGTCTACGGCAGGCGACGGAGCTGGCGATTCCGACGAGAGATCGCCGCCGCCGCAGCAGTTGTTGATGTGATCCAGCTGTCGGTGGCGGTTGTGGGGATTATCAGTGACGGATGCCACCTCGATCGTCTTGAACCCTTGCTCTTCCTCCTCTACTTCGACTTCCCGCTCCCCGCCGTTCGAGGTAGCGGGAAACTTGCGATCGAGTTTCATAGCGGCGGCTTCAGGTAAGAGGAGAGAGAAGGAGGGAGGGAATCTTCGAAGGGGAATATTCGGGTTGAGAAGTTATACGGTTTTACTTATTTTAGAGAGAGAGAGAGAGATGGTGGCGGTGGTCGGTAGTCATGAGTGACGGAGGAGGTGGTGGTGGCCATCGTGAGTATTTATAGAGACGTCCGGAAAATGGAGACTTGGCGAAAAAGCGAAACCGAGAAAACAAAAAATAATAGAATTGCCATAGAAGCTAGAAATGGAAAAGAGGAAAAGTAATAAAATAAACTTGGTTATTTATTTATCTTTTCACCCAAATTTTTTTTTTCTTTTTTGTTTCTACGCGATAAAAAAAACTGTTATGTTTTAGACTTTAGTCATCCCAAACCACTCAACGCACCATGACAACTCTTTGTTGGAGTTATCAAAGGTAAAATAGTCTAACGGTAAAGTTGTCGCGATAGTGAAGATTTGGGAGTTGCAGATCCCAAGTTTGAATACAAGCGAGATCTGTTGGTGTTCTCGGAGGTATAAGGCTGCTGGAGGCAAAGCCTTATTGGCGTCGAATTTTATAGCAGATAGCCCCCAGATTTAGTAGGACCCGCTGTCACAAAGTGGCACGTGGGCTAATGGTTAGGGTGATTACTCAATTTTGAGTAATCACGGTGGCTACCTACATCCTAACCTTTCGTTTACAATATTTTTAAACTAATGGTCATGATTGATTAGGGATAATTTTGGGAAAAAATACCCACACCTAATTACTATGTTTAATATATAACTTTCTATATATTCTTCATAAACCTTAAATAATTATAATAACCCTACAACCGTCTCATTCCCTCCCTCTATCCCCTGAAGATACTTTCATCATCGGCCGCCTCCACCTTCTTTCCTCCCTTTCCTCTCTCCCTCCACGGCCAACCCTCCTTTCCCCGACGCCCACTCTCTCTCTCTGGTTTTAGGGAGGGTTTTCCCTCTAGACCGATCAACATGATGGTGGCGAGTTTGGATTTTTTCAGCAGTGTTGGCACCGACAATTTCAAGCGGTCGTTAGATTCCATCCGACAGACAGAGAACTGATTCTCTTCTGATAGGTGTAACGGTATTTATTTCTTTTTGCAATTGTATTGTATCGATTTTACATTAGTAGTAATATTGGTTAGTTGTTGTATTGGTTTGCCTCTTGTAATGGTATAGATTGTTTATCTTGAGGTTAATTGCATGGTTGGTCACTGAGATTACAAAAAACGTTCTAATTTGGTCACTCAAAATATTTAAATGCATTGGTGGTACTTCAGTTTACTGAAACCGTTCACGTTTGGTCACTCTCCGTCCAACTCCGTTAACTTAGGCTGATGTGACAGTCAAATCTCAAAGTTGACTGTTAACTTAGTGACGTGGCAATTAAAAAATAATAAATAAAATTTAATCTATTTTAATGTCCAACACAATTTTACCATAAAATAAATAAATAAAATAAAAAATATTATAATTCATCAAGATGATCATACCAGCATGCTTCAACATGGGAAAAAGTTTAGAATGACAGAATTCATCAAAACCCCACAATGGGCAAAAGCCCATTCCACAATGAAATTGACACCAAGACAGAGAAATTGACCCCAAAAATGTCGGGAATTCCGCCATTAATATCTAGTTCAGACAACCCAGAATGCAAGAGAGGTATACCTGAGAAAGATGAGGAGAGGTCGGAGGAAGAAGCTTTGACTCGGAGAGTGACGACATGTGAGAAGGAGTTGGTGAGGGGTTAAGAGCATTGGTGAGTTCGGAAAGAGAGATGGGTTGTGGGAGAGGAAGGGATGAGGCGGGAAAGAGAGAGCGGCCGCGGCGGATGAGGACATGGCGGCGGAGTAGGAGGAGGGAGTGAGTCCAGTTGGGAATTGTGTCCTCCAATTCCAATTTTCTTTATTATCCTAAGAGGGAATGGTTGTCATTTTTACCATAAAATATTATAATATTTTAATTATAATATTTTTTTATTTTATGATAAAAATAAATTGGGCATTAAAATAGATTAAATTTTATTTTATTTATTATTTCTTAATTGCCACGTCGCTAAGTTAACGATCAACTTTGATAGATATGAATATTCGCCCCATCAAGCTTCTTCAACCCTCGCTTCACTTGTCAAATCTTGCCATAGAAGATGTAATATGGGTAGCCAGCCTAAGAAGTATCCCAAAACTTCTTCACAATGCCATTGTATGTAGGATTAAGCTTCCTGAATTCTAAGTATTTAAATTGCTTCGAAAGAGTATCTACAGGAGATATTGATCTACGCGACAATTCACAATGATTTGACACCCCTAGAGTAGTTGTCCAAACAAAATCAAGTGTGAACCTCGTCATCCACTCTTCATTCCCCAACACCCCTTATCAATTCTCCTGACTATAGGATTAGCCTGCTATTTGTTCCACCACGTATAATGAACCTGACACTTTGTGATCAATAAAATTCATCTCATCAATCTACTTATTGAACACGACAACAAAACAAAGCTTTAGCAACGGTCATCCGGACTTTTAACGACGGTCGGAATCGTCGTAAAATATTTACCGACAACCAACCCACCGCCGCTGACCCTGTTGTACTTAAATTTTTTGGCAACGGTTTTGGTCGACTGTCGGCGAACTAGAGTCGGCCACCTGGGATGGGAGAACCAGCGCAGATGCTGGAGGTGGAGACAGCGGGACGGAAGAACGAGCACGCCACCGACGCCGATTAAGGGAGAATGGCGCAGCTGCGTACGTTGGAGACTGCGGGACAGGAAGTGGAGTCGTGAGACAGCGAGAATGGAAGGAGGAGGGGCCGAAAAGGGTTTCCTGACTTTCTTCCTTCCTTCGTCCCTGCTTCTCGCATCGTCCCCAGTGACAGTGTTGCATAAGCTGAAACGGCCAGCAGCAGTTCAGCCCGCTGACCCGGTCAGCCGGGCCAACCGCCCTGGTTCCACCGGGTTTGACCGGGTTTCAGCGGGTTTGACCTGTTCCGGGCTGTTGTTGAATTGGGTGGATTTAGCCCGTTTTTTATGTTCCGGGCCAACCCGGGTCGATCCGTGGGTTGACAACCTTGATCTAGAGTTTATACATCCATTCAACCCAGTTACAATAGTTCAAAACACCCACTTACATTCCCTCCTAGCTCTTTATACCACCAATTCTAGTCAGAACCCTTTGAAGCAACAAAGATCAACTTCCTTCATTAACTTCCAGCCCTGCAAAAACACTCATTCAAAACTTGGGAGGATTAACTATAATTACATGGCATTAGCAGGCCAAACTTTTAGCGACTAGGAAACTATTTTCTAAATTTGAAACATAGAATCATATATATATATGCAGGAATTCATAGTTAAAGTTACAAGTTATAGCATTGAATTGGACAACACCTTGTCCCTTATTTAATTATCACAATTAAAGGTGTGGAGGGAAAATGAAGAACTAAAAAAACTCCACATTTTCGTTCTCCTTCACAACACCATACAGTACAACACAACACTGTCTTTTCCCACTCCATGCCCCCTCCTTCCGCTTTATTACAAGAGAGTGTACATAGATAAAATTCATATCCATATCTTTATTCTCCCCTTACCTTTATTTCACTGCTCCATTTCTACTCAGAATTTCATATATCTACCCAAAATTGCCATATTCTTTCCAGATATGAAAACTGAGATAAACAAGAGGACTACTTTTAAAAACCAGCCGATTCCCAATATATTTGTTCCCTAATCCAATCCAATGTTAACATCTTATTATCTTCATTCAATAGTCATTATAAAATTCCTATATGTCTTGCGCTAGAATAGGCTAACTAAGACTAGTATAAGACCGGATAACTAGGACTACTTTTAAAAACCAGCCGATTCCCAATATATTTGTTCCCTAATCCAATCCAATGTTACATCTTATTATCTTCATTCAATAGTCATTATAAAATTCCGACATGTCTTGCGCTAGAATAGGCTAACTAAGACTAGTATAAGACCGGATAATAGGCTAGCTAAGGCTAGTCTAAGACCAGAGAAGCTTAAACCACAACAAATCATCTCATCAATCTACTTATTGAAAAATTCTTCATACTTACATTCAAAACTACATAGTTTGATACTTCCCCTAATTCATCCACAAGATTAATGAAATCACCAAGTACTGCAAATGGATCATTTTGTTCCTGGAGCTCTTGGTAGAGCTTCAGCCTGTCCCCTTATTTATTAGGGTTGTAAACGAAATGCAGGATCATTGTTTGTTGACCTAACTTTTATATTTAGGAAATGTCCCCCTTCTCCAAACTTCGTAACAACAAGACTAGGTCTCCAAAACAGTCAAACTCTCCCTGAGTTGGACTTCTTGTAATAATTTAGATGCTCCCAAGTTACAAAAGTCCCTTGTATTATACTACTAGAAATTTTCACTACTCTAGTTTCTTAAAGGGTTACTATGTATACTCTAAACGTCCTCAACATCCTTTAAACAACCGAGTGCTTGCCAAGAGAGTTAAACCTCTGATGTTCCGGCTTAGTATGATAATTTATCCCTCCCCCTCCCCCTTCCCCTGCCCTTTGGCAGAGAAGGTGGATCCATACTACATACTATGGATAAACTTTTTTGAAGAGCAGGGAAGTACTCTTCCTCATTCCGAGTCATTCTACCTACTTGCATTCCAGCACGAAAACCATACCGCTACTAGAAGCTTGACTAGGTATATCTTTCTAATTTCTGTTCACTATGAAAGTAAATCCATCATCCTTTTCAGGTTGTGATAGAGCAAGAGTAGTAATAGAAGCCTCTATTAGAGCCCCCACTACCACAGAGCTTTCAACTAACACTTAAATCAAATGGCCTTTATTAGCAACCCTACCTAACCCTTCTTTGTTCACAATCTCTACTGGGTCATTTCCAAGCTTAACCGGAACTGGAATAGTCAAGTTATCAATGTGTAGAGGACCAATACTTGGCTCCAAGAGACAAAGAAACAATACATTTCCTCGATGATGACAGGAACCTCCCTAAAAATCCACTTGCACGCCACCGCAAATGAAAATTGAAAGAGGATCAGACTCTCCCCTAACCATGACACACAAAGTTCCCTTCCTCCTTCTAGAGCCAGTTGGCCCACAATCAAATCGAGGAAAGAGACGCCGGTCAATGAAGAAACTTACCTACCAAGATATGCTCCCATCTCTTCACCCTTACTTCAATAACTTCACACGAAATACGTAATGCACCCTTCAGGATCTACAAGTTAGTATTCTCAAGATGATTGTCAGAAGAAATTCTGAATAGCGATGCCCATGATTGGCTGCCACCAACAGAGCATGATGGTGCTCCTCTAGCTAGCCTGTAGTGCCTCGTGCACATACCGCATCACCAATCGATATCAACCTTCTCCCTCCGTGCTTCCTGGCGTTAGTACCTCGGTCGAACTCCATTTTTGCAGCCGCTGCATCTCTTCGCATATTGGTCTTTACAATGACCCATGATGATCGAAGCTCAACACCCCGCATAGGTGGAGCTGTCATTGGCGTCAATACAAGTATGTCAACATTCTGGACCAACTGATCTCACAACCCTTGGACCTCGTCTCATTCCAACATAGAGCCGGATCACGTTCTTCACCTAGAGGACATGTCAGGAGTCGCACATCATCTGTGCCCACCTTCGCACGGGCAATCGCTCCACGCTCTCATCAAACTCGACAGAACTTGATACCCATGTGCCATCTGTATTTAGAGAGGTTTAGCTCTGATACCACTTTGTCACGGACTAAGACTTCCGAAGCTCGCACGGCGTCTTGAGCCTCTCGCAACCTCAAGACCAGCCTTTACAACATACGCATGCCAACAGGTTTCGCCCTGCCATGGGCTCATCAGGGAGACGACAGTAGCCCCGACCAATTGTGCCCTCATTCAAAACGATCCCCTTCATAATCAAGTCCTCGACTAGCGATAATCTCCCCGACTAAACCGAGTCAGCATGTCTGACTCATCCAGAATGATGCATGGGCAGACAATGTCTTAACACTGCAGTCGCCCTCTTTACCCCTCATATCACAAGATAACCAGATGGCACGCCTCACTGAAAAAATGAAATGAAATATCTTAGTTATTCCTACCACTCTCAAACTTATATATTTCTGTAATCCAGCACTCATTAGCAGAAGTAGTTGCCGCAACACGAAGGACAAGAATATGCAAGGGTAATGCTTGGGATTCATGTGTCTCTCCGAAAAGATACTCAGGCTCCTCCACCTGTAATGATATGAATTAATTTCCGAAAATGCTTATACTCTTGGACAATAGGCATCATGGAGAAACCCACTTTGCCCCTCATCTACTTCAGATATGTGCTTAGATATATAGACTAGCTTATCACTTCGGGTAAGGGCGTTCGTATTTGGTGGATGTAAGTTTATAGTAAAACCTTCTTGGCTACTTATCTGTGCCATTCTTTGGGATGTATCGTAGTTTGTGGTCTAATTCACTTTTAATATATGCACGTGACATTCATAAATATATAAATGAAATTATGATCAGTATTGACTCTAGCTAGTGTAAAGAAAATCTCGTTGAATCGTTCGATCTTTCTTATGAGCAATAGTAGATATATTGGGTTGAAATAACGACTTTATTGAATTGAATTAACGAGCCTTCTCCTGCCTCGATCTTGCAGGGAATAAGATCAAGATTAAGAAAATTCACTTATACATAAATAATATTTTATTTGGTAAACCCCTCTCCCAGGGTAGATCATCATGAAAATTTCTTGTCTAATTGACTTTCCTACCATGCCAATTGTCAAGTAAGTGTCTTTTGGTCTGATTTCACGTTTTATATGTTACAAATGCTTCCTTATCATTTTGTATCACTTCTTTGTAATTTTATGTCTATATTAATCTTCCTCAGCACTCCATTTATACCCAGAAGCACATATAATCTCCAATACCTCAATTTGAGGAATATATAAATGAACTCGACTAAGAAACAAGGATTTCAATCTCCTCTAGTGAATGGAGGTGCAAACAAATTGATAACATGGATAGCTCAGCCATAGCTAGAGATTGATCCTGATTCATGCCCACCATATTTTGATTCCAAACCCTAAAAGGCTAAAACATAAAACCCCAAAGTAGGATTCGGCAAGTTGCAGGCTGCCACATGAGAAACCAATCGTATGGTCCACAATGTGGGGGGTGCATGGAACACTCAGCTCCACCTAATTGTGGCCCCACTCTCCCGTCAATGATGAATAATATATTACACCAAGAAACAAAATAATGAATAATATACACCCTTTTATTTTACTCATCTTTTTGAAATTAGAAAGAAAAATAAAAAGAGTACATTCTGCAGAATATGCTGATCGGGAGAAATAAGGGAGGAGGGCAACATCGACCGTATGGATCTTATCTTTTCTTTCTTCTATTTTTCTGCGGGGCGATCATGGGCGTAGGCCGCTCGCCACGTACGTTTATATTGTCATTTTCTGGCCGTCTGATCCAAAAATAATAATAATGGTTGTGTCTTTCGGCCATATATTTGTTTCACCAACTGAATGGTGTACAGTACAATGATATATGGATACATCAATGATCCTTGCAAGAGTTGGGCACAAACCCAGAAATGATTGAAGCTGATGAAGACATACAAGCAATCAAACCAGACAAAAGCTCGAAACCTCATAGCCAGCCGAATACAAACTCGAACCAATAAAACCACGTACGTGTCAAAGCGCAGCGGCTCCATGCAAGTCATTGCTCCCAGCAGATTATTGTACGCAGGGGAAGACCTAAGTACAAGTGAGGTGTGTCGACTGCCAGAAAATTGTGAGAAACCCAAGTTTTGTGAGTACAAAAAATTTCAAATGTAAGACTTCCGACACATGTAGTTTCGACAATTGTAGCCATACACACATCTCCATCATACTGTAATGTTAATCAATTTTCTAAGTATTTGAGATTTGTTTCAGAATCGATTAAGTGACCCACTTATGAATGATTATTTAGTTGTATATATCGATCGAAAAAGGTTTTAATTCACAGACAAATATATTTTATAAACCTAAAAGAATATATATATTTTTTGTGGTTCATTGTGGAAAATAATATAATAGTGAAATTTATGAATTAATTTTTTTCTTCATTCTTTCCTATATTTTATTTTCGTAGACCATAACAAAGATTGAAACCCTAAGACTTAAAGCCTTTCTCATTGATCACTTTGGCTCTTATAGGGAAACCATTACAGAAGAAGACAACCAGTCCAACTACAACTTGTTTGTTTGCTTGAAAAGGAAACAATAGCAAGCTTGGCAGAAAAGCAAACGTACAGCCAAGAGATGGCAAAAATGACATAGCAAAAGGGGGTTACATGATAAAACGGTGAGTTTCATTTGTGCTTAACCAAAGCGGTGAACATCAATCAAATTGAATCATCTTCTTCTTCATGTGAGTCCCGCTCTCCTCCAACGGTCGAGCTGTAAGAAATTGGGGATTTGAAATCCCTAGCTATTACCCCCCCCCCCGGGGCAAGCTGGTGGGCAGAGATTGCGCACACCAAGCTTCGCAACGAGGGATCGAAATGGTGTTGGAGAGAGAGGTTTGGTGAATAGATTGGCCAACTAATGAGTACTGGTGACATGAAGAAGCTTGATGGTGTTACTCTGCAACAGGTGGCAATCCAATTCAGTATTCTTAGTTTGTTCATGGAAGGTTGGATTCTAGGCAATATATATTGCGCTCTGATTATCACAGAATAGAGTAGCATGTCGAGCATGAGGGACTCGGAAATCCTTGAGCAA